CTAACACAGAAAATACCTGTCTATTGCTGCCCCAGAACGCCTCGTTGGGGATTTCTCTTTTTCCATTGTTTACTTATTGGGTATAGTGACGTATTTCGGGTATAGTGACGTTACGTTACGTCCGCGGAGCCGTTACGTTTGGACCAATCCGCGGACTTCCTCACACACACACACTCGGCGGGACGTTGCGCGAGGCTCGCTGCTGCGAGGAGCGGGACACTGTGAGCTGGCTCACTGGTGTGGGGTCAGCGAGACATCGAGACACCGCGAAACTCAGCCTGGGCACGCACACAAACTCCCAGCCAGGCTGCGGGTGTGTGTGTGTCTCGCTGTCTCGCAGACGGCCACTGGGCTCACAGGGAGGGAGGGGCAGGAGCTCCAACAAGCCGTTTAGGAAAGAGAGTGAATACACATACTATACAGAGATGCTGTATGAGAAACCAATGTGAGTTTGGAAAATTGCACAATATTAATTTATTTTAGTAGACCTCAATGGAATTATGATCAGTAGAAATGACCATGACATGGGACCTTTAAGTCTCTCGCTGCAACACAACTTTGAATGCAATTTGATGTGCATTGCCTCTAAAAATTACTCTGCAACCATTAACCAGTGATCTCCTCTATATAGGTGTCAATACACACAAATTGAAAGCAAAAGCTTGTCAACATCCATATATATAAAAGCATAAATGCATTTCGTTTTCAAAACTCCTCTGTGTTTATCAGATTTATTAAGTAAAAGAGGCATAAAGACATAGAAACTAAGGCTCCAACAGTATCAACAAGAAGTCCAGCACAAATAAATACTCCTTATGAAGTCTCCTCCGGAAGTATCTCAGATCTCTTTTCAGATCTTTTAGCAATGACACTCCAGAAAAAAGCTTTAAATCCATCACTCTGTCCATCTTTCTCTTCCATCATAGCAGAAACAGCCTCTCTGTACCACAGAGGAGAAAAAACTGCAGTTTCATCTTACCTTCTGTCGAAGTCTCAAAGTGTATTCAGATGAGCGTGTGGTATTCCTCTCTCTGTGTTTCTGTCTGACTTTCGCCTTTTAAAGTTCTCTGATCTCCTAATCCATCTCAGATGTTCTGGCATTGTTTGTTTGCCAACTCTGCTCTGTCCACTCCTGTTCCAGCTCAGACAAGAATAGAGGAGCTAAAGGTTGCCAGGTTTGTATACACTTATTTCAAGCGAGTCTAGATATATCTGTCAAGAAGTCACTGGAAATGATGGCCGTGTCATTTATTGACAGTAATTAGAATGATAATAAAGTAAAAGCCAAAAAATTATCAGAATCATCATAGTCATTATTAAGAAATGTATTTTCTATCTGTCCCACATACATCAGTATTTCACACACACCTTATTTGCATCAATGATAATATTTAAATGTCAGTTTTATGCAGTTTATTTACTGCCACATAGAGACTTGAGACTCCTAGTCATATTGACACCACATTTAAGACACAGCAGTAACTATAAAAAAATACTTAAAATTGGCAACACTTTCACTTTACTTGTAAACAAACACGTCCTGACATAACTTGCAGGAGGATCTGGAAAGTGCGGGGAGAGCCCTGAGCCTCGGTCAGATCATGGGTTCAAATAAAGACCACTTAACCAATCAGCTCAAATCCCTAGCCTCATGGACTCATGTTAAAGAGGGACATCTGCCAACTTCACTGATTTATTTATCATTGTGGCATAAAAAGAAATGTCTGAGGGGAAAGAAACACTAATGCTACACTCCAGTGTTTAACTACAATCACATTTGAACCTAAATCTCAGAAAATGATGTGATTTGAAAAAGAAAATCTTAATTTAAAATACCCTTTCATTTCATTAGCTGGTTAAGACTGTTACATGTGGGTAACAGCTCTAAATGGACCTGAAACTTATATTTAACCGTCAAATTGTTAACAAGGTGAAGAATGAGCTTAACAGACTTAATTAACAACTAACTAAAGGTATGTGTTGTGATTGTATATGATTTACAATTGTAAAATATATATATATTTTTTTTTAAATGCTCACGTATAGAACATACTATTGACATTGAGCTGCCAAAACAACTCATAGCCTTCAGTAAAATCCAGTGGAGACCTTCTGCATTATGTAATAATGTTACATACGTCTTCACATGGCACAACATATGCTTTTTGAGCTCCTCCTTAACCTCATAGCAGAGAGGTCAGAAATTATGGAAGAGCATTTCAGGGGGATTAGTAAGAGTGAGTATATAAGCAGACTGAACAGCAAAGACTGGAAACACAGAAACTAACCAGAGAGATCAGCAAGAAGCCCACAGCAAATAACAGGTGAGAAGAAATTCAGCTTTTGATCTCTTAACAATTTGGAAAGGATTAAATATAGAGAATAAATAAGAGTGGTTATATAAAGCATGGCTTCTGATAGATACTGTGGGGAAGAACACATGTAATTGATGTGACCTTTTAATTGTAGAAACCTGAATTATGTTTGGAGATGAAAAGAGCTTGGCTTGAGATGTGCTGTTCTTGAACAATTTTGATTTTTTTTATCTGAAGTCTAAGCTAAATCAGGGAGAAGCTGATTGTTTTCTTTGGCTTTTCCTTCACCTTGTAAGTTAATATTGTGTGTTCTGTGTAATATGCATCCTTTTGTTTTATATGTTTTTCTCATCCATCTTTTCTATCTTATGTAAGCCAATCTTAATAGTGTTTTTAAGTTTTATTTAAATAAAGGGCAGCTGTTGCTCAGAAGGTTTAGTGGTTATCCACAGATTTTAGGGCCTCAGGTTCAAGCCCCAGCTCCTCCAGTTAACATGTTGAAATGGTTTTGCTAAAGAACCTGAACCCCAATTTTCTTCGGATGGCTTATCCAATTGTGTGTGAAGGAATATGAATGTTGTGGCACCTTGTATGGCAGCCTCAGCCTCTTTATGCATGTGTGAATGCCGACTTGTGTTGTAAAAGTGCTTTGACTGGCCGCAAATACTAGAAAATTAAACAATGTATTAATCAATTTACTGCTTATTTTTGACCTCACGGAAGTGTTAATTGTTTTTTTTCATACAGCACCCAAAACCTGTTTACATTGTACATTGGGGCTGAATAAAATCAGGATAGAACTTACAATTAGGAAGAAACACAAACTAGTAAAGTTCAGGAACTTATTGGTTAATAAAGCAACCAGTTTTGTTTGCGTGTTCAAAGTATCATCATAGAGGTCAAAGTACATTCCCAACAAGTCTACAGCACTTTAGAGCTTTACTGTAAAATAAGACTTTTACCTGAGGTCAAAGATTAGAGGATATTGAAAAAAAAAATGTCCTTAGACTCAGGGTTTATTATGTGAAACATATGGCATGTATGTGTGCTGACCCTAGAGCAGGGGTAGCCAACACGGTGCCCGCGGGCACTTGGTCGCCCGCAGAGGCAACGTGAGTCGCCCGCGGGGCATGTTCTAAAAATAGCTCGCCAAGCAAATCCAAAATGTATAAAATACACAAAACAAAAAAGGAAATGTAATTAAAAGAATCTACCCTATGCATAAACGAAACCTAAATCATAGCGAACTCTATCTACTTACTACAACTCTATATCTATCTAACACCCCTCCTGCCCCCACCCCCAAAATTAATATCTACCAATCACGTTCTTGCTTGATTTGCGGGACCAGCGTTGCAGTCTGGAAGAAAAGCAATGTGGCACCTCCCCGCTGATTTTCCTTCTGGCAGAATCTACACAACACATCAGCCCCATTGAACAGCCTATCATGCCAGCCTATACAACACATGGGGGGCAGAGTTTTACTCTGTGTGTTGCAACTTGCATATCTTTATTGCACTTGACGCACACACGCATGGCGTCATTTCCACCTGGGACAGGGGGGAAATGTCCCCCCACTTTAAAAATATGTTTATTATTATTTTTTAACGCAAGCCGTCGATCGCCACGGAGGAGCACACAGCCTCTGTGAGCGAGCGAGACAGAGAGAGAGAGCGAGAGAGAGAGCTAGGGAGGGAGAGGGGGAGAGAGAGGGGGAGAGGGGGAGAGAGAGAGAGCGAGAGAGCTGGGGGGGAGGGAGGGAGGGAGAGAGAGAGAGCTAGGGAGAGCATACCTTTATCTATTTAATATAGATAAAGAAAGAAATCATTCCAATGTGTAGGCCTACTATAGGACAGTAAAAAAAATCAAAAAACAGTTTGAAAGGGGAGTGATTAGTAAAATAAGCATACATAAAAAGAAAAAATGCTAACTAGGTAACATAAGATAAGAATAAACCAGTTTAAATGATTTGTTATTGGTTGTGATCATATTCTAAAGATGTTTGGATTATTGAAAAGTATACAGCTCTCTTTCATCTGAGTGTTGAGAGCTGTATCCATCAATTCATGTTGTGCTCAAAGTGCTCCAGATTGATGCATTTCACTTCAACATTAAAAAATAATCTTCCTGGGGGTGCATGCCCCCCGACCCCCCTAGAGGAGGTGAGGACCCCCCTGGAGGAGGTGAGGCCCGTCCACCCCCAAATAAAGCAGGTTAAAATAATTAAATTGCATACATGTTCTTTTAGTAAACACTGAAAACGGGTCCCACAGACCCAAACAGACACAAAGGTTAAAGGTCAGCATATCATAATGTTAAAATGTGCTAAATATATACACTGCAAAAAAAGAAAAGAAAAGAAGAGTAAAAGTAGCCCCCGACTTGTTTTATTTTTTAAAAGTAGCCCTCACCCTAAAAAAGGTTGGTGACCCCTGCCCTAGAGTAACTAAAGTATTACATTAACTTTGTGATATTCTGGTCTCTTTGCCATGAGTAATCTTTAAAGCCAAGGTGTAAAAATAGACAAAGCTACTGTATAACAGTGTCTGAGGAGCTTTATGGTGGCCTCACATGGAGTTGTAATATTGTCCAAACATAGAACAGTAGAGCTTAGAGGTAAGATGTTGAGGAAAGGTCTTACACATGAAGACTAAAACAAACTGTTTTTCTCTCAGTGCTTAAAAGATGGCCGACGCAGGCATTGCAGTTCCCGCCGAAAAGAAGGCCCCTCCCAAGTTCAAGCAGAGGACCACTCGTACCTTCAAGAGCAAAGCCCCTAAACCCGGCCAGAAGGGGTAAGAGAGAATTTAAAGAGGGGCAGAAAGACATTTACTAAAGTACTGTACTTAAATGTTTACTTGAAGCACTTCCATTTTCTGCTACTTCAAACTACTCCACTAAAATGTTGCACTGAAATTGTGTACTGTTAACTTCACAACATGTATCTGACAACTAAAGCTACAAAGTACTTTTCTTAAGATTCTTTTTTTAAGATTTTTCTTAAAAGAATAACAGAAATCTTATTAAATGAAGCCAGTGATTGTGAAGGATCTGAATATGTCTGTTACAGATTAAAGTCAAAGAAAATCTCAAGTAAAACATTCCAAGGAAAATTAGGACTCACTTTTGTTCCTTTTTTTAGATTCGGAGACGAAATCCCCGGCATGGAGGGTCTGGGCACAGACATCACCGTGATCTGCCCATGGGAAGCCTTCGGGGACATGGAGCTCAGCGACCTGGCCAAATATGGAATCGTCTAGAAACCTGCAGCGTTTTCACCACAACCGCTCTACCTGCACTGATTTTCCTTTTGCCCGGCCCACCTACCTCGCCCTGTTCTCCATCACCTTCCAAGATACCTGAGCTGATGTCTGTTTTGTGTTAGGCCAACCTGGTTTTTCGAAACTTTGCACAAATATATCTAAATAAAGCTGATCTGAAATTGGCAAATAATAATTATATAATACAATTTATTATTTATACATGCTTCACTGAGGGGTCAAATCTATGAGCAATAAATCGAACTTCCTTCCCCGGTACTTTGCACTTGGCTTGTGAATTTCTGAGAGACAATAGACTGAATCTGTTGTAAGCATGGTTCGATCACTGTTTTGCAGTTTATCACCACTGAACCTTCACTACTCTCTCCTGCCTTTTCTACTCCACTTCCCTTCTCCTCTTTGGAGCTATTACTTTTTAATGTACAGCTATTTATTATATATATATATTTCTATTTTTATGAACCATGAATGTATGTGTGCACAAAGTATTAGAATGTGAATAAATGTTTTCCCCAAATAAATGTTGTCTTCTTTAAGTAGACAGTAGAACTTAATGGGTTAGAGGGAATTACTCTCCCAAACACCCCAAAATGCCTCGATTGGACTCCTTTGTTTACTTCCGTAACATAGTGACATCAAAATGTAACACTGGCACTTCTATTTGCTAGAGCCCCAACACATTGTATTGATATATGTTATAGGATTAGGGGAGGGAGATCTTTAAGCAATTGACCAATCACAACAGTGCAGGAAAGCTAACCAATCAGAGCAGACCGGGCTCTGGTTTCAGACAGAGGGTGAAAAGAGATGCTGCAGCACAGGCAGTTTGAGGAAAAGAAGGCATTTCTTGAACATTAAAGGTGGGGTAGGTACGTTTGAGAAACCGGCTCGAGATACACTTTTTGTTATATTCCATGGAATGCTCTTAACATCCCGATAGCAATGAATATCTTAAGTGCTTTGACAAAAAAATCCCTAAAAAAAATGTAATCTGTGGAAGCCGTAATACTGTAAAAAGCACGACCAATCATTTTAGCCGGCCCGGCTAAAATAACTGGATGGCCTACCTGCCTGTCAGCCTTCCATCTGTGCACAAACTTATCTCGTGCCCTCATTGGTCATGTGTGCGTTCGTGCGTGTTGGAGGAGGGGCTCTGTAAGGAAGTGGCAGATTTTCTCCGGCTGTGTATTTTCAAATTCTTGCACACTCGAGCTGGTTTCTCCAAAATTACCTACCCCGCCTTTAAATAACGTGTAAATGTCCCAGTAGAGGCAAAAAATGAAAATATGAAACCTGAAAATCAGCATTATAGGGCCCCTTTAAGGGCTGTCAAACAATTCTGCTGGAGGTTTTAATGTTACTGACTTGGGGATCAATAACATTTTAATAGATCATAAGCCCTAGCTTGTGTGTACAACATAACCTACAGAATGACACTCATCCATCTTACTAAAACAATAGAATATCAAAAGAAAGCAAACTTAAAGCCTGATCACAACAAAACATTTTTATATAAAACATTTTATATGGACATTCAATAACAAAAAACATAATGGCAGTCAAGGGGGATATAGACATGACAGGAGGGGGAGAGGACTGTTCATTGAGAAACCATAGCAACTATGAAGTATGGCCACATAGTTAACTATAATACAGAGGCAAGAAAACCGCGACAGGAAAATGAAGATGCCACTTTATGTGGCAGCCATTTTGTTTGTCAGTAGGTCTTTTTGCCAAACCGCACTGTGCTCTTTGTGTTAGCTAGCTTAGAAACGGCTAGCTGCCTGTCATTCTCCGGAGAGTTTAGTGGTAAAGAAGAACGCAACTGGGCTCGGCTGCTCAGGAGTCAAATATTAAAGACACAAGATTCATGCAAAACTTTTTTTAAACTTGACAAGTATCGCTCATGCTGGTTTGTCCATGCCGTCAGGGCTTCAGTAAGTCCGTCTTTGTGTATTTTGTGTAGCACGCCTTGAGTTGAAAACGTGTTGGGGACTGAAGGTTAGCATCTTTGGCTAGGTTTCCTTTTCTTTTTCTTTTTGCCCAGAGCACATTCGTAATAATTTGGAAATATTACAACAAAAATGTTAAATGTCATGATGAAATCCAACAGCAGCACACTTAATAGAAAAAAACCATCTTATTGACCTGTTTTTCCAAACGTGAGAAATGAAAAACAACGGTAGCTTTGAAATGAGTTAATAGGAGAAATAAAAGACATAACAGCCCCATTTTACACACAACTTAGATCATATCCCACAATGACATTTCATTTTTAACCATGTTGGAATATTACCTGCTAATGAAATGAAATGTGCTAACACATTTGACTGGATATCTTTAAAAAATCTGGAGCGACCATACAGGTCAGGCTGACAGATTAAACCACTGAAATGTAAGGAGTCTGCTCAAAACAACAAAACAATTAAATAAATGTAAAACTCAAACAGAAAGGAGCACAGCTGGTTTGCTGGCTATTCATTCCAAATGTCTCGGTCTCCTGCTAAATATGTTTTGAAATATAATCAAATGTCACGCTAACGGATCCTATAATCAACCCAAACAAAAAAAAACATAGTGTGGATTGACTTGATATTTAACCAGAGGACAATAGTTTGATAGTGTTACATGCACACTTTAGTTTGTGCCTTCCTAGGCGCTCCCAGCTCAAGATGTTCACTCCAAAGAAGAAGAAAAAAATAAAACTTGAAATTGAACTTGCGCCTTATTGGAGAAGGAACAACATTTACGGATATAAAAAAAGAAAGAAAAGACAAACAGAATATGAAAAAGAAGTAAATAAAGACAGCCATAGGATTATGATAATAACAATAACAAAGATAATATATTTATACATACGGCAGAAAAATGTGCTTTCTACAAATCTTTGGAACAAAAACAAAAGCCAAAAAAAGAGCCACGTTCTGGAAATATAGAATACAACGGTATAGAAATATGCACAATAGTAAGGTGTTTTGCATTTAAATATTTTCTATGAACTCACCGACACAATCTCTCTCTTGCTCAGTAATCGCTGCTGCAGCATCTCGAACACATTTACCTACTAAAGTATGTTTCAGGAAGACTCATTCAATGTTGGACTTTGCTCTATAAAAGATGGAGCATGAGGGGAAAATCCAAATAATAAATCTCTACATTAAAGGATCAACAAATGCTTGAACCTCAGGGTTGTGGGTGGATGGTTTTGTTTGGATCTAAAGCTAAAAATCAATTAAATACGACAATGCTTTAGGGTTGCACTTTTTGTAGTGTTTTCATGGTGGCTGCACACAGAGTGTAGTGAAATCCTGTGCATGGAAAATATGATGTGAGACTATATTTGTGTGAAATAGTCAGATAGGTGAAATATTTGTTATATTGATGTTTATTTTCAGTTTTAACCCCAAGGTTCACTGTTGGATCTACATGTTCTACATCAGCAGGGTGTGCCGAGTCAAACAAAATAATGGTTTTATAAGAATAATAATGAGAATAATTACAATAATAATAATAATAATTTGGTAACTTTTTTCTCTAAACTAATTTCTTTGCATATCATAACAATTTTAAGTTTAAAGGTTCACCATTTCCACATACTAAGAAAACTTGAGGTAAGGAACAGCTCTAATAACCCTCCCTCCCTTCAGCCTTCGGACATGATTTCCGTAGCGTTATTAACCGTCACACATCATTCTTCCAAGCCGCCATGTTCAGTCTCCTCTACCAGAACACAGCGAGAATGGAAGTCCTCTCTCACTACTATCCGCCCACCTTAAGGAGGAATTATAAAAATCCATCAGTGGGTGTTTTTATCATTTTAGTGACTCTTCTTTCTGTTTCAAAATGTTTTTTTCCGGTGCTCTTTTGAGGCAACTTCCTGCTTTCCAACGCTCTGACATTTCGTGGACATTTTGATTCCCTCTCTTTCTCCTTTAATGTTGAGTGTGTGCAGGCCACACAGCACTCAGCTCTTTTTCATACTTGGTTGTCAGCTGTTTAGTTATCCACCTTCAGCCTTTGGAAGAACATCTGGGCTCCATCACGAGTCTTGTGCTGCTGAGTGCCGAGGGATTAAGAAGGGGAGACTATAATACAGCCGTGCAATAGGGAAGGCGGCCATTTACTGTCTTTTTTTCTTCTTTTTTTTTTTTAATATAGAGGCCATCCATCAGTCTTTAATACAGCATTCCTCTATTTCTGTAGTAGCGTATATAAGAAAACTTGGGACTGCTCTGGGGTGGGATCTGAAATATCTTGATGTGGTCGACACCACACTTTAAAACTGGGTGCAGTCCACCTCCACGACAACAGAGGGAGCTCTTTCAGAGAAAATCAATGGAAGAGAGAAGCTCCTGGGAAATGTAGTGTCTTTAGTAAGGGGCAAATCTACTGTATCCTCCCCTGTACAGCGCGGCCTATGAAACGACAAAAGACAAACAGTTAGTCAAATGCTCACAATTACTTTACACATTAAATTATCATTCTGGTGATCTATATTTTTCTTATTGTAAATAAACAAAACAAAACAACCTAGAAACAACTGTGAATGTATTGGTCTAACAAGTATTTTCTGTGAAGTCAAACCCATGTTATATCTCTTCCCTGTTTCACAGACCTCCATTATTGTAAAAAATAATAATCAGTGAGCCACATTACTGTAGGTTCATTTCAATCCTACATACATGCTAATGTAAGTAGACAAACACATTGTTGGTTTTGCTCTTTCATGACAGTTGTTGACAATGACAAAAATATAATATATCCTTTGCCTTATTCTTTAATTTGTTTACCTGATATGGGCTGAGGGAACTTACCATTGCTCCCACTCCATAGGCCGCTGGGTTGAGCGCAGCATGGTAAGGGTCTGCTGTGTAAACTCGTCCGTAGCTATTGAAAATAGACAAAAGGGTAACATGAGTTATCTCATAATATTTTTTAGGAAAAATAAAGGACATTTCGCTAAATGATGTATATGTAAC